AAAAGGAAAGACAAATCCTGGATGTAATTAAAGAGGAACTTAACCAGGCATACCAATCGTATGACGAGTTACTTGATGATGAAAGCGCTAAAGGTGCCACTTACCGATATTTCGATTTGTGTGATTGGGAGTTTATCGAATGTCTAGTGCGACTATCTGAAATCCTTTGTTCAGTCGAACAACGAGAGCATGAAGAATTCGAATCTAGTAGGCAAGAAACTGAATCAAGCCATTCTGCAAGATCAAGGGTTTCAGGTTCTTTAAGATCTTCTAGGTTGTTGGTCATGTCAAAGAGAGCAGAGGCGGCGACCTGAGCAGCGAAGCTAAAGGTCGAAATGAAGTACCTGGATCAGGAAACCAATTTAAGAATTCAGCTGGAAAAGGAGATCACCTTAGCAGATGCTGAAGAGGAAGCTATCAAATTGGCCACGAACGAAGAAGTGAAAAGAGGCATAGTTCGCAAAGATATGAAATCTGATGAGAGATTTTAACAAAGTCTCCGCAAAGCTAAATTCGATGTTGCAAAAACTGTCATAAAACATGAACCTTCATTGTTGAGACTGGAAGCACTTCCTTTCACGCCGTTGATGCTGCCAATAAGAGAAGCTGCTAGTCAAGATAACAATTTCGCTCCAGAGCGAGACAAGCCAACAACACATCAAGAAGCAACTTTTAAACAAATAGTCAGTCTCTAAGCGAAACAAGCAGAATTAATTGCTCTAATTGTAAACCAGCAAAGAGCCAGTACGCTTCCTTCTCAAGAACTGCCTGTCTTTAAAGGAAGTTATTTCGATTATCCGACATTCATAGCTGCCTTCAATGTCATGATAGAGAAGAAAGTTGACTCAGAAAAGGATAAACTGTATTTTTCGAGCAAGTATACTTCCGGCAAAGCCCATGAAGTCGTGAAAGGTTTCTTGACCTGGGATTCTGACAAAGGTTATGAAGAAGCTTGTAAGCTCTTGGCTCAGCACTTTGGCAACCCATTTTGAGTATCCGAAGCTTACAAGGCTAAACTGCAAAATTGGCCACAAATCGTTGAAGGAGATAGCTCTGGTCTTCAAGATCTCTCTGATTTTCGTGTCCGTAGTGAACGGGCCATGCAGTCCATGAAGTACATGGCAGATCTAAATTCAACAAGGTTACCACAGGAAATAAGCACAAAACTACTCCTCAAGTCAGGCTCCAGGTGGTGTTGCCAAGCACGTGATGTCCTAAAGGAAAGGAGAGAACGGTATCCTTCCATAATCTAGAAGAATTTTTCAAAGAAGCAGATCTCGCAAATGATCCGGTTTTTTCTCCTGAAGTGATGAAAAGTAACAAAAACAAGGCGCCTGACAGAAAACAAGTAAAGAGAAGTCAGGGAGCTAACAGTTTTGCATCGTTTTCCACTCGTACCCTGCCTAGCGAGAGCAGAGGAAGGCCTAATGCAAAGCAAGAGCCGAAACAGAAAGTTTGTGTGTCTTCTGCGGCAGTAACCACCCACCTCACAAGTGTGGAGAACTAAGCAGGAAGAGCATTGACGAGCGCCTGGCACTGGTTAGATCAAAAGGCCTCTGCTTTGGATGCCTGAAAAGGGGTCATCAATCGAAAAACTGTCGAGCTAGGTTAAATTGCGAGAAATGCGGTAGCAGCATCCAACTCCACTTCATGACCCTACGTATAAAGAAGGATCTAGCAACCAGAACACTCCTGAATCAACTGGTGACAACTATGTCACCTTCATGGAGAACATGATAGAGAAGGGTTTTGCCGAAAAGGTGAAACAAGGTGCTTCTTCAAAATATATTAAGGTTCACACGGCAACCAGGTGGACAATCAGACATAGTTTGATGCTACACTGGTTTGCAGATTTAATGAATGTAACCGAAGAAGTTACAATTCATAGACCCGACATTTCGACACTCCTGTCGAGTGCCTTCATCAGGGGTGATCTAAGCGCTGCAACAAGAAGTCCTTTTATATGATCCCTAGGACAAAGAACTTCTTTGCCTGTGGAGGATATTATTCATCTGCTGTCTTTTTGCCTCAAAACCACGCAATTTACATATGGCAGCACATACTATCTACAAGTTTTTGGTACAGCGATGGGTTCACCTGTTTCTGCTGTCATTGCTAACATGGTAATGGAAGACGTGGAACAAAGGGCCTTAGCCACTTCACTGGTTAAACCCTTTTTCTGGAAACGATATGTCGATGATGTTATTTTTTTATGCGGTATCCGGAAATGAAGCGGAGCGCCTCTTGTCGCATTTAAATTCAGTAGA